GGGTCCATTCTTGTTATATTTTATTGTAATCATTTTGCCTCCTATTGTGTATTCCAAAACAAATAAAAGCTAAAATTATAAAAAGAGGAGAGCATAGCTTATTTATTAAATATTTAACTAGAGTAAATAAATAATTTAATTTTTATTTTTATTTAATCATTGAAATAGAAGTGTCTCAATGTTTTTTTTTTTTTTGCAATGTTCTCAAATTAGTTCTTCTAATATTCTTTTGGCAAACCTACACCTTTAGTCTTCTAATTTTTTTGCAAAATCCCTTCCTAATAACTTTATAGAGCTATCAATGGGTTGCAAACAGACATGACTAATATCTCTCTCAGAGAAATTTATCAATTGCCTTTCTCACTAATTGATAATTTATAATATCTATGAGCAGCAAAAGTTCTTCAAGTCAATGATAAAATGAAGAATAAGTATACAATTTACCCACAATTGCAAGAAACCTTATTTGAAAATTAAGTGTAAAGATCAAGACAAGTGTTCTTGTTCTACAAAGAAAAAGTCTCATTTTCCACAAGTATAAACATCACTCAAGGAGGTCATATAGTAAAAAGAGAAAGTATTTACACTTTTTTAAGACGCATCCTCCTTATTTAAAAAAGTCAGACAAATGTTATATATGAAAACTGGAACATTTTGCTAGAAGAACTACTTAAAGAATATGATATGAAGTGTGTAATAAATAAAGACTTATTTCTCAACAGCCTTGGTAGATAGTCTTGTAGCAAAAATATCGCATATAAAAGTCTTCTATGTTTTTTCTATATGAATTTTCTCTATTTTCTTTATATTCTCTTGAAATACTAATATTTTACTTTTGTCAACAAAAATTCAAATATGCTTTGCACTTATATTTTTAAAAGAACATGTGTGTAAGAAAGAATCTGGTTATAATCTATTAAAGATGAGCTTCTAATCTTACATTATACAATCCTAACATGACCCAAGATCGGTGTTGTAAATGAGGCCTTGTTTGTTTTATTGTCTCATAAACATGATAAGCTTATTCTTTGAATTGATCTAGAAACTTAAGCCTTGTTTTATTTTGTTTTCTATTTTTAAGTTCTTAAAATAATTATGCAGTGTAATTTTTTAGAACAAGTTCTGAAAACAAAATAAAAAATAAAAAACTCTATTTGAATAATTAAAGTAGTGAAATAAAGGATGAGAGAACTATTTCATTTACCAACATAATTGTGATTAACGAAAAGGTGATTATTTTTTTGCTTCTCTCTAATTTTGCAGAACAAAAGATAATAAAACATCATAAAGATATTCAGATTTTTTAATTTTTCAGAACAACTTTTAATTTTTTTATACAAATAATAAAAAAATACATTTCAAATAGATTTTTTTAATTTTCAAAATAAAAAATTGTTTTGAAAATAATTAATCAAACATACCCCTAATCTTTTATGGTATTAGAGCCACTCAAGACTTAACATTATAATTTTCATAATGCCAATTGTAACATCTGAATTTCTAATCTTGCGTTAATGACTGATTAGAGATGGATTAATGATTTAATGTGGGACTAGGGTTCTAAGTGGTGAAGTGTTATATTGACTTATTGAAATGTTATATGAATAGATATGAGTAGAAGAGTGGTGTCTCGAAGCATAATGTGTGAGCATAGTGAGAATTTCTCTCACTATGCCACGCGCCGTGGTAGGTGATAGATGCACCGTGGCGCATAGAACAAAAATTAGATTAATAGGAACGTGTCCAGCTTGAAAAACATAAAGGAGAAATGTGGGAGGAGAGGTCTGGTGTGGAGAGGAGAAAAGGATCTGCCAGGGCAAGCTAAATCAGGAGCAAGGACGGTGTCTCTGACTCGTTACTTATCGGGTAAGTCACGTACTGCCTTAACCTCTGAATCTACCATATTTTTTCTTAGTTTTAACTAATGAGAAAGTGAATTCAGGAGTTTTAAGGAGTTAATTTCTTATCCAATAGTAATAAAAAGGTTTTATGGAGCTAAACTTGTGCTTTGTGACAGGTTGTAGTCGAAACGATAAAGTTTTGAAGCTCTAGACAAGAATTGCCCTAATTTAGAGAGAGAGTAGTGAGAGAAAATTGTTAGAAAATATTAAAGCTTGAAATGAGGGGTGATCAATGGTAATGTGTATAATCGAGTGTGAAATGTGGATTTGATAACAATTGAGTGCTTAAATGCCATAATTGACGCTTTTGGTTAATAGAGAAATTGATTCTGAATGCCAATTCTGTGTATCTTATAGTGTGTGACGCAGAAATTATGAGAAAGGAGCTTGAATAGAGTTGAAATTATACGGGTAACCCTTTCTATCAAATAGAAGGTTGAGGTAATCATATAGTTTATTATATTTATTAGCTTTTATAACTGTGTAGAAATGAATATCAAATGATAAATTGTGAATTGTGAATTTATGAGTGTTATGCATGATTGTTATTGAAATGGTTTTAGCATGAATTTGTATTATGAAATAAATTTGAAAATTCATTGATTTCAATAGATATGTGTGTGTGTGTGTGTGTGTACATATATGATATGGAAGAATATATATTGTAGAAAGGTGTATAAGTAGTGAAAATTGTGAAAAAGCATGATCATAGAGGGTGGGAGTTCACTCTGGATATGTGAAGTTGTTTGTCTGTAGAGATATATGAGTGTAAAATTTATGTGGTCGAGTTAGTACCATGGGACATCCGGTGCAGCATTATATAGGCTGCTACCATAGGTAATTCGATACAGCATATTATGGAACTCTTACTATGGGACATCCGGGCAATCTAGAAACTCCCTAGTGCCCGTTAGGGCGCAGTTAGAAGTCAACGACACCTTTATCATAAGTGTGTGAAGAGGGAGACCATAGTCTATAGGTGGGATAGATTATTTTTAGCCGGGTGTTTCTATCACCAAAAGGGAGCTTAGGTCAATAAGTGGTTGATCCAGAAGAGCCTATGGCTTTGTGTTGGGAAGCATTAGAGGATCGATAGATAATTGATCATGCTAAGGTGTAAAAGTAAATGAAACATGATTTATATGCAAAAGTGATAATTTAGTTATAATATACTATTTATATATGTGTTATATGATGATTTCAGTTACTATGGCATGGTTATGTGTAGTAATAGATATTTAATGAGCTGTATTTGGTTACTGAGATTTTCATCTCACCCGCAGTTATTTACATTTTTCAAATTTTGGTATTGTTAGGTCAAAGGGAAAGGATAGAGGTTGAATTGACATCTCTTGCCTAAATCTTTGTAAGATATGGTGTAATGAATTTAGTTAGTTTTAGTCTTATATATGTATAAGTTGCCATAAGATGTGTATAAGTGCATGAGCTAGGATTATGGTATGTTTTGTGATTTTGAACTCCCTAGCCCTTTTATATGTGTGAATGATTTAAAGACTGGAAGGGCTAGTGGATGGATGTAATTATATGTGAATATGAGATAGGTGGAGGTTATTTGTAGTGTTTTGGCCATATATGAGATTAAAAAAATGAAATGTGAATTTAGCCCAAAGGGAGAAATGAATAATTTACAAGCTAAATTTGTGTATGTGTATTATGTTGGGCATGTGTATGGTCAATTAGATGTGCTTTGTCCATTTGAATTTGGTCAAGGCCTAAAAAGAGACTAATGACAATTGGTTTCGAATTGAGACACTTAAGTGACAAAAATTTGATAAAAAATGATCAAAGTGCACTTTAGTGTCCAATTTTTGATATAAATATCAAATTTGGATAACACCAGTATCATTAGTTAGATTTCAAAACAAGCTTCGTGTAGGAACTTGAATTATCTCAATCGGACTTCGTATGTGGAAATGGCATGCATCTAAATTTCATATCAAAAACTGCTATTTGACAGCAAATTCAGGTGTGTGCGTTGTGGCACATGTACTTGCATACCGCGGTGCACGGCACAGAGCCAATGACTGTGGCCTCTGTGCCACATGCTGTAGCGCATGTGGCACAATTTACGACGCACGATGTCAATTTTTACTTTATTTTCTTGTGATGTACATGTTTTCTAGATCTTTAATGCATAATGTTTTATTGCTTTTGCTGTGTATAATAAGATTTATACTTGTGTAAATTATATCAAGATTTTTGAATTTTTTTTATTGGGATCCCAATGTTTTCAACTATTTCAACTCAAATATTTGAAGTAATTAAAAATTTTATAGTGGAACATATGATAATGTTATTGAGGGCATTACACCAATGTCAATTGGCTTTGTTTGTCTGATTTTATTAGAAGTTAGCCATTCAAATTGTAGAGTTTGATCAATATTTTAAGTTTCTTTTAAATTCAAATATAGAATTTAAAATTTAAAATTTTACTTTAAATCCAAACAAAGGATTTAAATACTTAATTTAAAATTTTTTATATTATCCAAATAAGGAATTTAGAATTTATGAATTTCAAATGTGAAATTTTAGATATAAAATTTTAAATTCAAATTCTCAACTTAAATTCACCCATCCAAATACAACCTAAATGTTTTCTATAATTATTTATGATAATTATTAAGTGTTTTAATGATAACATATATTGATTTTAAATAATGAAAGATGCTAATTAATTGTAAAAAATATATTTATTATGCATTTCACCAAAAAATATTTAAACTTAATCAAAACTTAAACTAAATCAAATTAAAGCACTCAAAAATCGAACCAAAACTTATCAGAAAAAAAAACCAAACAAATCTAAAGTTTTGATGATTTGATTGGTTTGATTTGACTTTTTCAAATTTAAAAAAAAAAAAAGTTAACATATATGTGAACATCCTTACTTGCCGCAGCTCAAGCAGAGTGTTGTGGCAAATAATTATGTTAACTCTGCTTGAAAATGTATAGCTGTCGGCATATACCACACACTATTTATTTATTCATCTTCAAATTCATTATTCACTAATTAACTTAAAAATCATAGATAAAAACTTCTCTTAGTTCAGGTCATAAGAATTTCGAGAGCAGCATAAATAATTCTCAAATATATGCAATACTCTTTATATTCTCAAACTCAAATTGATCAACAGCAAGATCATGACACCAACAAAGAGAAAGGCTAACTGATTGATAAGACAACAAGTTAGTAAAGCACAAGGCCATGGCTTCAGCACACAAATCAAAACTAAACTGAAACTCAAGAGGGTATTATACTATTATAAGATATATTGTTTGATAGGATCAAATGATACCCAAGAGGGTTTATTATTAAAACATGCATTCTGATATGAGTATAGTAGAAATTCAGCCACATGTGACTCATTCTCTATGCCTTCTGAATATAATCATCAACCTCTTGAAAGTTTTTGACTGCAAAATCTTTGATGACATGAGGGTCAGGGACCTCTGCACTTGCCTTCTCAAACTCAGATGACCACTTCACAAGGCTTCCTTCTCCCTTTGGTATGACACTGATGTGGCCCTTGAAGTTCTTGAAGTACCTGAGGAGGTCACCATCAATTACACTATATGTCACTGTCTTCTTTGCATCATCAGCTGCATCAATCTTCTCTTTTGATACCTTCACTATTGGAGAACCTACCCAAAATAATAATAATAATAATAATAATAATAATAATCATAATAATACTCATGTGGGGATGAACAAATATTCAGAACTAGTTACCACTAGTGAGAGTTGGGTTGAATGGAAGGGATTCAAGATGGGGATGGATTTAAAGGAGGAATACTTCAATGGATCTTTGGAAAAGTTAATAATTTTTTTTTCATTTGTAAGAGATTTTAAAATAGATTTTGGTCTCCCATGACCAATCAACTCCTAGATTTAAGATCCCTTAAGTAAAGTTGTTGGTTCAAACCTTGTCAATGAAAAACCGCGCTAAAAGACTTATTCAATTTGAATCGTACAATATTCAAATATGAATTACTTATCAAATATTAGATATTTATAAAGATATTATGTATAATCAACAATAGTTGAGTAGAATGAGATGGATCAATGTTGTCAAAGGCACTTGCCTTTGTGCCTTAGGCATTGAGGCAATGCACAGAACAACCTTATCACCTCTTATGTGTGAAGAGAGTTAATGGGTGCCTTGAGTGCCTTTCTCAAGCAAAAGGAGAGTGTAGTTAGGTGTGCCTAGTTACAATTTTTTTATAGTTTTTATCTATAATGTATAAAATAGTTGCTACTTTTATCTATGTTTTCTTCATATAACACAATTTTTCAAAGTATTTATATGCAAGTTAAGTAAATCTACATATATCCTTTTATCTTTGATTTGTTGTCTATACGTTATGTATTTTCAAATGGTAGTGTTCTGTTTCACACAAACATGTGCCTTTTTAGAGCTTTGTGCTCAAAATATTTTACAAGCCTTGTGCCTTGAGCGCGCCTTTTGACTTTTAACAACACTAAAATGGATTCAAGACTCTTTAAGCAAGGTCATTGATTCTAATTATGCTGATAGAGCTATACGGAACCCATTTAAGACCTACTAATGCTCAAATACACAAATTAATTGGTATATATTAATAGCAGATAATTGTAGATAAAAAAAAAAGAGAAAAATAGGTAGTAGCTAGAATATGATTCTTAGGTTTATAATTGAGTTATTGCATGAAGAAATTAAGAATATAATGCACCTTCAGCATAAAGAATCTGGCGTACAGAACCAGGAGCTTTGCCGTCGCCCTCAAGAACCTCAATGCTCTTGTAGTCATGTGGAATTGCTTTGGGGAAGATGGTGGTTGAGTCCCTAATGGTTTCCCAGAACTTGTCTGCTTTAGACTTCACCTCTATTTCAACCTCAAGCTTCCCGATGGTGGCGGCCATGGCTGAAACCCAACACTGATCAATATGTATGGAATATAATATGAGAGAAGAGTCCTTGGGAAGAAGAAGAAGAACAAGTGGGTATATATAGAGATGATGAGAGATCTCTGATTGATCATGAGGACAAGCAAGTGTAAAAAGAATCAGGAACTTGCTCAACTACTGCCACTTAATGAAGCTGCCTGAGAGAGCTTTTATGGAGTTGCACCCACTCACATGACTCTAAATGAATGTTGGGCCCACTCAGTACTGAAAGCTATGCGTTGATATGGATGGGATTTAGCACGGTTATAGAAATCATGTTAGATTTGTTGGGGCAATTAAAGTGGTTTGAGTGCATTTAATTTAGGAAAAATTATTTATCCAATGCTTGTAATTTTGAGTTGATTGCAATTTGATTCTTGAATTTTTAATTAATTACAACTCAATCTCTATAACTTTGATTCGATTAAAATTCAATTATTAACCAATAAGCATTAGTCCTAATAAAAAAAAATGATTAAACAAGGGGTTTCAAGATTAACTCTAGGTGAATGTCAAAAATATCTTTGGGAGAGTTACTCTTAATTGGACCTAGTAATGCTCGAATCTGAGTTAATCAAGTAGCTATATCATAAAAAAACTCAATCCCAAAACTTTAACTTAATGTAACTTAATTCTTATAGTTTTAAAAATTTAAAACATTAGTCCCTAAAATTTAAAAAAATAACTTTAGTCCTTATAATTTCAGTTTCTTAAAAAAAAATAAGAATCAATATTTTAAATTATTAAAGCTATAAAGACTGAGTTGTATTAAGTCAAAATTTAATTAATGACTAAGTTTTAAAGGAGCCAAAGCTATAAAAATTAAATCATTAATTTTTTCCTTTAATTTATTATTGGATCGATTTAAACCCTAATGAAGTAGTGGTTTTTGAGCCAACTAGATGTTAAAGTGAAGCTATAAATGCAGAACAACAGTGTCGGTGATTCTAATGAGTCTGCAAAATTTGTTGGCAGTTAATTAAAACTTTGAATACAGTAGCCAATGACCGCCAACCAAAAAAAAAAAAAAACATGTGGGAATTTGCCTCCTCACATAGTTTATTTCATGCACGATATGTTCAGTGTCAAAATGATGGATCATAATTTACCTATAGGATTTTTCTATAATAAAATTAAGCCCAAAATCACAGACATTTCTATTATTATAATTTTTCCATCCTCAAAATTTCATATAACCATCTGAGATTCACCAATGAGCTGCAAATTTGAATTGAAGAATTTATGGAAGGGAAAAAATTAACACACACATGAATAATTTTTTGTAGTGTCTATTTGTCTTTTTACGTACTTAAATTCATGAGTCATTCGATCAATGAGTTTAATTATCATTTATTTTTTAATTAAAAATAAAAATCATTATCTTTCCATAATATTTTAATCATTCCAAGTCTTCAATTATTATCAATATCTTCACAAGTTTTGTACTTGTCACTTTTCCTAAAATTAAATTTTATACACACAACTTTTTAATGGATTGCAAAGATTACTAAGCCCTTTTTTTTGTACGGACTATGGAGATCCACTCAAATATTACAAGCCCATTTTTGTTGGAAGCCCAAAATAATGGCTTCGTCTTATGTGGTTGTGAAAATAAACTAAGAATTTTACCATAGAAGAATCATACGAGCATTTCAACGACTCTAACATAAAGAATTATACGAGCATTTCAAGAGTACATCGTTAGAGGTGCAACAATTTTTTTGAAAAAAAAATATATGTGAAACAATGAACAATACCTTATAAATTATTTGGCAAAAACAAAAAAACAAAAAAGCCTATAAATTGGTTTGGAGAGAGCAGTTAGTTTGACATAAGATTTGATAATAGCGAAGATGAAACTGACGATCAATTTTTTAAACAATAAATGATGTAATTGATGATTTGGTTCATGGTATTTGTTCAAGTGTGTGCATTTTTTGTCAAATTCTGATTCGTACATCATACCTGATACACACACACACACACACACACACACACATGAGAGACAACTAGATATAGTATAATAAGATAATTGCTATAATCAAATATAAAATGTTCTCTCCATTTGTAAATGTTCAAAATTACTCTCATTAATATGAAATTCATTAATTAGAGAATAATGAACTAATTAAGAAGTTAGCCAGTTAAAGAATATCAAGACAAAGGATATTTAGAAACAAAAATTGTAGACAACTTACAAAGAGCATTATAATAAACCATGAAACAAAAAAGTCTTACAACTAAAATTAAATGGAGAACTGATTAAACACAGCATGATGAATTTATCTAAAATGAACTTGCACCTGTGAATTTATTATTAATTAAGAGATCAAGAAACTATATAATATTACATTTTATATTCTGTACCTTCAATCATCTAATTTTTTAAAATAAAATATGCCATGAAAAATTCATGAAGAAGTGGTTACAATTAGGTCATAGTAGACCTCATGAGGGATCTACATCCATGGGGTGGATTGTCAAAAAACCTGATGTCAAAGCTATCATTAAAAGCCTGGCAAGCAAGCTAATTTACACAATTGTTTACTTATCTAAATATGTGGTTAAAAGTGATCGTTCAGTCTTTTATAGCAAGATTCTTAATTTTCTTAATATCATACATGGGATGGTTTTGTATAGAATCATGCTAGATAAGCATCAATACTTTAAGAGAATTGGTGTAAATATTAACTTTATTGAATCTATACTTCCAACAAAAGTTTAGACTTTTGAGAATACCTCAAAGTTATGCAACAATATTAGAATAGTAACCAAGATGTTTAGAAAAATCTTTATGCCAATTTCATTCAATATCATGGATAATACCACCATAACTATCACAACCATTTGTTTATTAATCCATTAATGTCAAGTCTCACTTAACCTGATTTGTACGAAAAACACTGGCTTGTGATATATTACAATTCAAGGCCAAGTGGCCGAGTCTTGATTGAAGACTATTAATGTCTTGGATACATGAGAAGGCAATGTCTTCAGTAATGAATAATCTAAATTTAATTATATATACCAATCATCTAATTTGCCTTGTTCATTCTAACATTTTACATAACACAAATCATTTTAAGAAAAATTAGTAAATATTAAAAATATTTAGTTTTAATTTTGTATGAAAATAATTGATAACTAATAATACTAATTAAACAAAAAGTTAAATTTTTGAAGTCATAGAGATGTTCATTTGCATGGATCACATAGCTCGTGGAATGACCTTTATGCTTCTTCTTTTTTCCATTTCTGTCTCATCCACTTTGAACGCTACAAATTCTTTGGCTCGCAATATCAACTTCAGCCATGTGAAGCCAATACCATTCTTCTTGCATTTGTATTACACCCATGAGGAATATGTTACGCATGCTTTTTGGGTTAACTCAATTTGAAGATTTAACATAATATTGTTAAATCATAATTAAATTAATCATAACTTGGTTTTGTTTAACATGTGATATTCAAAACGACATAATCTTCTTTAAATATTAAAAAAGTACATGCTTTTCTATTTGAATGTAAAAAAAGTCAAAATAATTCTTGTTCTTTTTTTGATTTATGAGTTGTTTCTTTATCGAGCTTTTTTCACTCAATCCAACAATTAGACTATCATTATTGAGATAATTACACCTATTATATTATGAATGATTAAAATATATTTACCTTTTGCGAAATAGTTCCATTTTTCAATTTAATGTGAATTGAATTTATTATGCATTATGATTTTTTATAATTTAATAAATAATTATATTTTTGATCATGAAATAAATTATATTTTAATAATTTGAAATAAATTAAATTTATCATTTTTAAGAGAAAAGATTAACAAGAAAATAAAGCTTCAAATAAAAAAAATACTATATTGTTGTTACAAAAAATCACAAAATATTTGGTATTAAAAAGTTAAATTATCTTTGAAAAAAATTTGATAATATTTTAACTTAAAATGTAAGAATTTATGATAAAAATTAAATTCATATTTAAAAACATTTTGATATATAATCTTTTAACTTGAAAACAAAAATCATGGATAACTTTACGATAAAAAGCATACAATTTACCCTTTAATTAACGTACTCGTCTTTCGTGTAGGATCTAATCTAATACTATTGGTGGCGGAATTTAAGATAATAGACAATAATTGATGGTGACAATGATGTTCATTCCCACTTGTATGTCACACACCAATCGAAAGATTAAGAAACAAGACAAATATATTATTCGCAACGAAGGAACACACACATACACATGAAAGCACTCTCTCAACTCCCACCTTTATCAATACTTCAACTTTGCAATGAATGCATTGAACGTAATTTATATCAGAGTCATATAAAACTATATAATATATATATATATAATTCCTCAATGTTTAATTTCTCAACCAAAGGTAAGCACACCTACTTTTGCTTTGTCTTGGTTCTCTTTTCCTTAAAGTAAATGTTTCATATATCATATCTCTTCCCCTTTGTCTAGTTTGTGTCTCAGAAAAATCCAGGTTGTTGGCAAATATGCTGTTGAGTGTTCTTCTCATCTAACTTCACTTTCTCCATACGTACTCTCTTTTCCTGGATTCTCATGCCATGATGTTCATCTACTTTTTTTAATTTATAATGTCAATTAGTCTCTCTTGGACCATGCAATCTTTTTCCAAGCTTATTTACCTGATCTTCTTGTACCAGTGTCTGTCATCAGGCTGTCATGAAGTTACAGAGAAACATATTGAATGTGGATAATAAAGCCTGATCGGTCATCATCATCATCATGCCATTTGGGTTTGTCTCAGCTTGGAACAAGAGACGTAGAACCAAGTTTCAGGATCACACAGACCCTTGTAATATTCTTCTTCTTCTGAAACTGAACTCTGGGGATCAGTTTCACGGGAGGGAGGTTTATAACATTTAAATGTTCATTTCAGGGATATATAAGCCTGTGGAGTTCTGGCAGATTGAAGATCAAGCACCTCGGCCAACAAAGAGGAGGCATGGATCATCTGTGTTCACACTCAGAGAGATGGAAGAGGCAACATGTTCATTCAGTGATGATAATTTGCTTGGAAAAGGAGGATTTGGCAAAGTCTACAGGGGCACTTTGCGTTCAGGAGAGGTAATATATATCTTACCTGTTCAATTCACAATCACAAGTTTTTTGTCACAAAAGGAATTCTACATCACTAATCTAATCAAGTATAGCAGCAGAAAACCTCAGATCAGAATTTGATATGATAATGATGCATGCATAGTAATCATTGTTAAGTTTTGTGCATGGTCGTACTTAAGTTTAAACTTATATATCTCTCATCTCTTTATGCATGTTTTATGGATCTGTGAAGGTTGTAGCGATCAAGAAAATGGAGCTGCCAGCATTCAAAGAAGCAGAAGGAGAGAGAGAGTTCAGAGTGGAAGTGGACATATTGAGCAGACTGGACCATCCAAATCTTGTTTCCTTGATAGGCTATTGTGCTGATGGAAAGCACAGATTCCTGGTTTATGAGTATATGCATAATGGCAACCTCCAAGATCATTTAAATGGTTTGTATTTGTAATATAAAACTTTTAAACCTTAAACTTTTCTTAATTATCTATTTAGTCCTTTATTTTTGACTCAATATAACTCAATTCTTGTAATTTATTGAGTTATAGAAGAATTATAGGCACAACGCAATGAATGGCCATATAGCCTATAGCATGCAAGCTCCCCAATAAGTAAGAAATCACATGTTCAATCCTACTTTAAATCTTAAGCCATTAGTACATGCTTTTTTAATTCAAAAAGAATTATAGGAACTGGGTTGTACTAACTCCAAAAATAAGTAACTACAGGGACTAATGTTGTAAATCAAAGTTTAGTAATATTCGATAATTAAAAAATAGTTTAGGAACCAAGTTATGTTTTTCTATATATAAATAAAATTCTGAAAAAAAATCCTTTGAATGAGGCATGTACGTGTTAATGATTTATGAGTGATAATTATTCTTGTAGGCATCACAGAGAGAAAAATGGATTGGCCTCAACGGCTGAAGGTGGCACTGGGAGCTGCAAGAGGGCTTGCATATCTCCATTCAAGTGGAGCCGTTGGGATTCCTATTGTGCACAGAGATTTTAAATCCACCAATGTTCTCTTAAATGCTAACTTTGAAGCTAAGGTATAACAAACAAGTAAACTCATTCACTCTCAACAGCATCAAAGTTCCAAAGTTTTCATTGTTTTAATCAACTCTTTTATTTTTCTGCAGATTTCGGATTTTGGGCTGGCCAAGTTAATGCCTGAAGGGCAAGAGACTCATGTCACAGCTAGAGTACTTGGTACCTTTGGCTATTTTGATCCTGAGTATACATCGGTATGCATCCATTCTATTCATTTGACTTGTGTCAAAAGTGGACTTTAATTCCACTAGTCTAGCTTCGAGGGAGCTTTGCACTTCAGGATATATATTTTCCCAAGTATAGTATTGAAATCTAGGCAATTCGATTAGCTGAATTGAACTAGTGTCTTGACTAATTCAATAAAATATTTTGTTCATCATTAGTTTGACTACACTTTTATCTTTTAACTCTTGAATAAGTGTTTAATTAATTAGTTTGATGACGAGTCTGGTTTTCAGTATTTTAATGTCAAGTTTTTATATTGAAACTTAAATTGATTATTGAACTGATCGATATATGATTCAAATATTAATAGTCCAAATCATAGTTAAACCAAGGTTAATCTAGTTAGTCATTATCTTTTTCTAATTCAAAATGATATCATTTCAAGCTTTGCAAAAGGAGAAAAAAAATTATATAAAATTTAACCCATTGACCTATATAAAATTCTTAATCAGACCAGTTAGAGGACTAGTTCACCAATTCACAGATCTAACTTGCTAACCAATGATGAGTTTACCATGCATGTTACTAGATTACACAAAAGACATATCACTGTATTCTGAGTCTATATTTTAATCCAAAAGTTTAATGCATTAGATATATGGAGTTTCAACTTAGATATTTTTGCTTCAACCCAACTTTATCAGACAGGGAAACTTACTTTGCAAAGCGATGTTTATGCATTTGGTGTGGTTCTCCTTGAGCTCCTAACTGGACGCCGAGCTGTAGATCTTAACCTGGGTCCAAACGATCAAAACCTCGTATTGCAGGTACAGATTACAAATGAGTAAGCTATCATCATGCATCTCTGCTGTTTCTTTCATGATATATAAAAGCACACAAACAAACAAAATATGTAAATAGAGCTGATGAGATTATACATACGCACGTACGTACATGTATATAGGTGAGGGATATATTGAATGATCGGAAGAAGCTGAGGAAGGTGATAGATGCAGAGATGGCGAGAAACTCGTACACCATTGAGTCCATAGCCATGTTTGCAAATCTGGCTTCAAGATGTGTCCGTACTGACAGTAGTGAGAGGCCTTCCATGGTAGATTGTGTGAAGGAACTGCAACACATTATTTCTACAAATTCAAGAGGCTTGGGAATGGTCTTGCATACTTTCAGAATGATCTAAGTGCGTTAATTAGTGTTAGTTAATTTCTCCAGCCACACCCCTCCTCAAGTGTCTGAAACTTCTAAACCAATGAGGCTAAAATGGATGAGGATGCTGATGATTTTCTGGTATTGAAGTGATCCAAAGTTTCATTTCATTTATTGGATTTGATATAGGACATTCCTAAATTTTTGTGTTTGTGTTTGCCTGGATCACATACATGTGAAAGTGAAAGCCTTGGTTAATTTTTCTTTGTTCAATCCTCACGTACGGGCTTTGGATACTGGACTCGATCTCATAAAAATAAATTATGAATTAATAATTTTTAAGCATGTTTTTAATTTGCTAGAAATGGTTATTTTACAAAATATTATATCTTATGACATTAATTTGTTAATTAATAAGCTACTGATTTTATCAATTTTTATATTATCTATCATATACATCCCTTTGTGATGACATTTGGTATCAATGGTTATTTATAAAGTTAAGAATACTGGCCGAGCTCCTCAAGCTGTTTGTTTAAACCTGTTTTTTCTACCTTAATTTTTTTTAAAAGTTGAGGTATTTTAATAATAAAAGAGTCCTGAAAAAACAAGTTCAAGTTCAGGTTACCCATTTAAGTTTGTATTTATTTTAATGTTGAAAAATTTTGATATTTTATATCTTTGAATTAAATTTAAATTTTAAAATATGTGTTTGTGCTTTGCAATTGGGATATGTATTACTTATTTTAGAATATTTTAATTTACTTTAGGGTATAAATATGTAATATTATAATCAGAAGCTTAATTAAAAAAATTAAAAAAAAGCTTTCAAATCTAGCCAGATCAATAAAGATAGAGCTTAAAAAATATTTAATTTTAGAGTCAAACCCATCCAGTTCTATTCATTTAAAATGATGAGCACTGTATGCTTTTCGTTGAAATAAGATTTTGATAGTTTAAATTTGATTCAAATAGGATAGATTTCAAGGTTTATATAATTTTCAAAATGATCATTTCATCTTAAAAAAGTTGTAGTTTGAAAGTTTTTTTAATTTTAGATTTTGTATCCAAGAATATAAAAAAACTAAAAATATAATAATGAAGTAAACTTAAATATTAATATCCATTTTTAATCTAGGCAATATAAATAAATGATAGTATATGTCCACATGAAAGTAACGGGAAGAAAATGTGGATCACATGAAATGATTCCATGTTCATCACAAAAGGATGCTACGTTAAAATTAGAGATTCTAAGATAAGGAAGATAATCTTCTAATTATGACTTATTTTAAGAAAATAAAAGGGAGAATGATAAATAAGGGACTTTGAAAAATATTAAAGACTTTTTATAACAGAAATATCAGGAATTTTTAAGAATTTACAAATCAAAAAATTTTATTTTGCATCAACTTTTTTTTACAGAGCCTTCAATTGTCATTCTCTCAAGATCCAAATTTTATCTCGACAAAAGCATCGAATGCTCAGCCACTAGTCTCAAGATTCGTTGAAGTTCTGAGATGCCGTGAATTGGGGGACAAAAACAGGCCAAAAAAAAAAAGCAATAAAAAAATATTGGCACATTATTTTTTCTTTCTTTTTAAAGAAAAATATATATTAACCAGGCACTTGAAGGAGGTTTGATTCGTTGGCCAAGAAAAAAAATAAAAAATAAAAACGAGGTTAGATTCTAACCTTATAGGTGTCGGTGCCTGGTTTTGACTGTTTGTGTCTATAACTTGTATATTATATATAAACCGTCACGCTTGGATCACCTTTTAAAAAAAAAAATTATAACTTCCAGAAACAAAAAGACGTAAGTGTTAAGCTTTAATTTAATATTAAATCAATTAGACAAATTAAAAAACTAGTTAAAAAAAGGGGGGAAGGCCAAAGATTAATTGCAATTTAAATTTCTAAATTATTAATATATATTTATTCTTAAAATGCAACAAATAATGCCTAATCTCTGGAACATGCCTCTCCTTCATTTTTGTCATTAATATCTGATCTTGCCATATCTATCTGCATTTCCAATGTGGGACAAGTCACAATACAGCCATAGCTACATGAATTATTAATATCCAATCATTCCTCATAAATTCAAATATAATTTTATTTTTCTTCAACAAAGAAAAATATCTCTCTCCCAATGATTAAAACAATATCATACAAACTAATTAAAACAGCAACTAGGACTTTTAAGCTTGGCATTCTACACATACTACAATATCTAGTAGGCATGAGAAAAGAAAAAATTACAGTTAAATTTCAAAAAATATTGAATTAATAACAACTAAGTCTTCTAGAATTTTTTTTTTTAAATGAGTTGCAACCATCATTCAAGCAATTACATTTAAATTAAAACTTGAAGATTTTATTTGTAACTAAAACTCATGTGAATATTGATATTTTCAACTCATTTTTTTAGAATTATTATAGGTAACTTAACTGTCATTAATTCAATCTTTTAGAACTAAAAGTCATTCTTTCCGTGAGAAAAATGTCTGATTCTTCAGATCTTGATGAACTATTTTTTTATGATCTCCAGAAAGATTTCATTCCATGTGTCTATAGGACCAGACAAGCACCAATGAACACAATTATTTTGAACATGTTCTTTAACCCCATTAACAAATGGAAATGGATACATGTAAGCTCCTGGATGCCCATCTGGCCTCATCAATGCTAGCTTCATCACATCCAATACCTCTAATCCAAATCTCTCATCGTTATAAGCCTTGTTAGCAGCTTCCACTTCTTCAACCTCAATCTTCCTCATCTCAGAATCCATCCCTTCAAGCTCCTTCTCTTCCTTTCTGAATGGCTCAGTCTTAGGACATGCCCCAGCTTTATCCCACTCACCTTCAAAGTGAGCTGGAGAAAATGTTGTCACTGTCACTTGGATCCTATCTCTTCTTTCAATTATGCTCCTCAGGCTTGTCCTTAAAGCCTTTCTCAACACATCATAGAATCCAATCTCTGTGTGATTCAGACCAGGACAGTAATGGCAGCCCAACACTGAGTCACCTTCATAGTAAACTGCAGGATGCAGAAACCAGTGACCTATTGAAAGCACTATCAAGTCTATTTGATTCAGATCTCTTGCCCATCTCTCATCAACAAGATCTAAGTACAGTTCATTATGATTTGGTCCTGAGTTTGATTTCTCAACCCCTTTTACCAGAAATGGAGACCAGTAAACAGACACGGTGGCATTGTGAGAAGCAAAATGCCATCTGCGAAATTTGTTGTCTTCACCATTTCTGTAGACCAGATTTGGGGTTGAAACAGTGGCCAACATACAGAGAAGTGACTCTAATTGGTTCCTAGCCATGGAATCACCCACAAAAGCTAAGTGCTTGTGGTTGAGAAGCTGAAGGAAAGATTGAGGTTCGAACCTTGGGAGATTGCAGTGTGTGGGTTTCCATCTCCAATAGAGATAACCTGTGTCTGGTCTGCCATGGCTGACGCAGTTCTGACCTTCCTTGATGGTTCCACAGGTCGTGCCATTGTACAAAGGGCCTCTTGCGTCACGGACCCATTTGCCATTGAAGTAGTCACATGGGGTCTCATCAGCTCTTTGTTCTTCTTCTGCAAATTCAGAAACAAACAAAACAACATGTAAAAGTCTGATCTGGAAAAACCTGCAAAATCCCACAACCCCAAAAGTTGATAATGAATCTGTCAAGTACCTGCAGAAGAAGATAGTGAAGAAGGAGAGAAGGAAGATTGGGAAGTGATGGTGATGGTGGATTGAGGAAGACGAAGAGGGTAAAAGTAGAAACGAAGGAGGGTAATGGGAAGAAGAGCTTAAAGAGCGAAGAGGAAGAGTTTCTTTGGGAAGGGGAAAGGAAAGGAGGATTGGTCTTTGAATGGGTTTGTGTTTGTCGATCCCATTCTCATATGCTTGCTTGCTTCTCTCTTCCTTTCTGCTTTCTTCTATTCTATGCTTTTTTCTTGTTTTTGGTGTATCTTTTCCGGTGTTCTCAGGCGACAAAGACTGGAAAAATGTGTGTGATTTTTTCAGAGCAAGGCGCACAGAGAGAATGAGAGAGAAGACGCAATCCTCGTCTACCTAATTTGTTGACCAATTCCCGAATTTTTTAATTGGAATTTTGTTTACATTACAAGTGATGACTGATACCATGTGTCGGGAAACTTCATTATTTTGGCTCCGCAATATTGCAAATTAACTAAAACTCAATCCTCATCATCTTAATTAGATTTTATCTCAAAATTTTTTATTTCTAAAAAATATAAGTAATTTTTTTTTACCCAAGTTTGTCCACTAAAAACAAACAACTTTTTTTAACAAGAATTTAAATTTTAGTTTCACATTTTTTTCAAGAATTTAATTACTACTATATATTTAAGAATCAAACTTAGTTCATTGAAAAAATAAAAAGAATACTTAAAAATATTTTATTTAATATAAGGTTATGAAAAACCATGCAAGAACAACAATCAAGTTATGTTAGAACATGTAAAACGTCTGAACCTTAAGGGTGATGCTACAAAAATCATAGTGTCTAAATTGTCATTTAACACATGACAAGCAAGCTAATCTACATATTTATTCACATCTTTAAAAATATGATCAAAAATTATAATCCAATCTTTCATGATAAAATCCTTGATTTGATTGATAATATTTAAGAGGAGATGATTTTAGATGAAGTTGCACACTGAATAAGTATTAATTAGAGTTTCAATAAAGTTAGAATAAATATTGACTTTAATAAATTTATTATTCTAACAAATGTTAAGGTCTTTTTAGATTAAGCAGCAATGTCAGGATAATAACGTACGTATTTAGAAAACTTTAATCTAATTTTCTTAATTATCACAAATAAAACCTCCTTAAGCGGCAAAGACGTTGATGCAATAAAGCTATCAATGTTCAATCTAATCAATCTAATTCAATTAGATTTTAGTGGGTACCATTTGCTTGAGCTTTATCATAATTCAAAAAATTGCAATTGAATTTAGATTGTATATTAAGGTCATTGACATGTCTTGTATGCAGGAAAAGGCGATGATATCTTTGACCAGAGGATTTTCCTCAAATAGATATTATGCGTGGAAGATCTTCTTAGAAATATTTTTGTTATTCTTAGGCATTTTGAATAATTTAGATCCCCAAGCATTTTAAATATTTTAAATTCTTGATATTAAATTAAAAAAAAAGATGGGACAACTAGGACAGAAAAACATAAAGGTTAATAGTCGTTTTACTCATATAATGTCCAACTGATCATAATTTTATCAACTTATCAATAAAAGTAATAAAGTTTTTTTTTGCCAGCAATAAAATTAAAAAAGTTATATATACATTAGCATATTTAATTTTATTAATAACGATAAAGAATAATGTTGAAATAGATAAAATTAAGAAAATAAAAAAAATATAGGAATCAATACCAAAACATGTTTAAAATAGGGGAACCAATATTTATATTTCCTACTAACTAAACACTAACTATATCGACAAAATAATTACATTTCATGGAGGAATTTTACTGAAGGTGCTTAACTGAGTCAGTACAAGAGGCAACAATTGAGCTGGAAAGCAAGTGACTCTATCAGAATCATATTAAAAAAATATATATTGAAACATGTTTTGTTTGTCGGATTGTGTATGGACTCTCCTATAAACCCCATTTTGTTTACTTGATACAATGAACCCTTACAAATAATATATTCATTCAACCACATATTTGATTAATTTTCGTGTAATTTTATGTTCTGGGCTTCCGTTTTCCAATATATATATATATCGAATTACCCTCGGATGTTAAATAAAGGTTACTTTTGAGCAATTTGTTGTTTGTTGTATTTTTCACATGAGAACATATCCAACCATTTGGTCTCTTGCATTGTTGCTTTATTGAATGTTTTTTTTTTTCACAAAAATATTTCTAGCCAAGACATCTTATTAAATTTTAGGGGTAATTGTAGAAAGGTAGCCCAACTATTTAATGTATTAATTATAAATAACTAATTTAAGTAATATTTTTGGCCAATACCGACGGTGGGAATTTTGAAGCGAAGTCACCCACTGGCCACTTATATATATATATATATATATATATATTTCAAAAGGTCAATTTATTACCTAAAAGTAAAAGCAAGGCACAACTGAAAACTCATCACCAAAAAAACTGATCAATATGATTAAATTTTATTATAATTGATTGTAATGTGGTACAATTGATTTATAAAATTAATTAATAAAATTGTTGTAAATAATTAAAAATCAGGCACTATGGTTTCATGAAAATATAATTACATGCAAAAATCAATAATGAACTTAAAATTATGATTTTCTTAAAAAATTCAAACACTCCTATTACTAGATAAAGTTAATTATAAAACCAAAATCATAGTTTTCTTAAAACTAACCAAATATCTCAATACATATCAAAATTAATTATAAATTTAAATTCATGGTTGTCATATAAGTTACTATTACTTGTTTGTTAAACCCAGATTTTTCAATTATAATTTTTTTAAAAAAATCCAAAAACCATATAAACTTTTTAAAATTATGGTAATTTTGATATGCACAGTGATGTTTATGTTTTTAAAGAAAATCATGTTTTTAGACTCATGATTTATTTTAGCATGTAATGAGCGTTATAAAATATTTAAGAAAATAATAATTTTAGGTTGATAATTTATTTTGATATATTAGTTATTCCAGAAAATAGTTAAAAATGATTCCATGATAGAGTTATTTAGGAAAAAAATCAAGACACTACAAGTAAATAAGCCCTTGATCTTTCAAAGAATTTCTCATTTAAATTTTATTCGAAGGACTTTGGCACTTTAAATCAAATAATTTTGCCATTCGATCATTCTAAGCAATTTCTCCTACTCCTTTCTTTTCTAAAAAAAAAAAAAGGGCTCAAAAGAATCAGATGCCGAGCTACTCGGGCAAAAGGACCAACGGACTAATTAAACCTTCTTGGGCGTACCGATTTTCCTTTGTTTGTTTGTTTGTTATTTTGGCCAGCGACTTGCTCATGCTTTTTCAAAAGTACAATTTATTTCACTATAGAGAAAAACATTAGTCCATCAAAAATAGAATACTAAAGAGAATTATAAGGCCCCACATGCTGTACCATTTTCTTATCTGCGTGCAAGACTCAACCTCGTTGACCCAAAAGACTATGCGCTTGCTTTTTTTTTTTTTTTGGTTATTTACAATAGACAATCATGTTCAAGCATTGTTGGATATTACTTGTGACTATGAGCTATGATATTTATTAAAAAATATTTATTAAATTATTAACTAACAAAGCCTTCGTATCAATAATGAGCTATGATATTATAACTTTATAAGTGATGGGTCAAATGTTTATCAACTGGACTATCCATTTATTAGTAATTATGCTTGTCGCACCCGGAAAAATGCGACGCGGACGACGCGCGAACGGAGGTCCCGGCCTTCGCAGCGGTAACTGGATCGAACAAGGAGTTGCCACCAAGATTTTGAGGTAAATCTCGGGAAACCAATTAAAAGGAGGATAAGGGTGGTCTGCAAAATCAGAAAATAGGTTCGAGAGTCAGTTGAGTGTGGGGAAGGTATTAGGCACCCCACAACACCCATTCATCAGAACAGTTACCTAAAGTTTGTTGTGCTCTTTTAATATGGTTTTATAACTATTTTAATTATCCCTTTTATATTCATGTGTTTGATATAAAAATGATAAGAATTAGGTGAGAAATGTTTATTTATTTATAAGGGAGGACGGACTTGACTCAGAATTTGACTCTGAGGCCTACGTATCCTGTGATGGGGATCAAAATCCACGTAGTTCGGGCTTAAAAATTTATTAGTGAAAATATATTTTTTGAAGAGAAATTAATTAGAAATAATTCACCATTTTACAAATAAAACAATTTCTGAAATTTTGATATGTGTGTTTTAAATTGCAAAAGGTAATTTAATTTTAATTATTTTCTCCATTTTTGAATATTTAATAAAGAAAGGAAAGGGTTTAAAATTAATTTTTTATATATTTTATGATTAGAAATTTAATTGCAGTACCTGTAGAACCTTATTGATTCATACGGTAATGCAATTGCTCTAAGTATCTGCGAAGATTCTGAAATCTCACATGATAGAAGAGTTTGGCAATTTAATTTATTTATTTATTCTTATGTATATTTTAAGTGTTAAAAATATATTTTAAGTGTGTATATACATGTTTTAAAGGTTCTTAATCATCATACCTGCAAAGCTTTATTGACTTATACGGTAATATGATTATCCTAAACATCTGCGGAGATTTCAAAATCTCACATGATAAAGGAATTAAATTTATTTAAATACATCTTTTTAGTTTAATTAATTTAATATATAATTTATATATATTTTAAAAACTTAATCGTAATATCTGCATAGTCTTATTGACTCATACGATAATACGATGATCTTAGAAGCCTACAAAGATTCAAAAATCTCACATGACCACAAGATATGATTGGTAACTATAACTATAATTAAATTCATTAATTTAATTAATTAAAAATTATAAAAAAATGTTTTTTATTTTATTTACAAAAATTTGTGTATGTATTTACCATACAAATTGTGAATCACGATATCTACGAGGATTTATTATCCTACACGATAAGGTAATTAATTTAATTATTCATGAAGATTCTTAAAATCTTACTTGAGACTTAAATATTTATTATAAAAAGAACATTAATTTTAATAATAGGTCTTTGGAACCCATATTAATATATACAAGATTGATCCTCATACCTGCGAAATCTTATTAATTTACACGATAAAGGATCATTCTAAATGCCCATGGAGATTCTTAAAATCTCACACGACAAATAGGTAATTAAGATATTTGCATTTGCAGGCAGTGCATAATATTATGGTTGGCTAAACGATTCATGCGATGAAAGCAATTGAAAGAATAAAGAAATAAATTATTTTGACAGTTCACTATTCTTTTAACCTGGGGATATATTTTAAAAAATCCATATTTGGCATAAACTTTAGCAAGATCATAACCATGATAGATACGGTTTCAAACCATAATCACCTAACAATTATCAACGATATTCTCACAGGCTTCTTCTTCTTTTTTTATTTTGTCAAACACCTCTCAAGTATGTTCTAAA